GAGAGCCCGGGGGCGCTTACAGCTCATCCTGGTTTGTTCTCATTTGCTGGTTTGGGCCCTGCCAGGGAGGATGATTTGCTGCCTCCTCAGGTAGGAGAGTTCCACTCTGTGTTGACCCTTTGCACTAGCACCGTGTCACATTTCCAGAAATTCCTGGGAGCTTCCAGACAGGCAGCACTGTGAGACGCAGCACATTCGCAGCTTATGATTAAAATTAAGACTTAATAAGTGTTTATGCTTGGCTGGTGCCCAAAAAAAGAGTAATTTTGTCTTAAAGCAGGTTCAGTCCATAAATAATGAGATCTGAACAGGCATTTATTTGTTCATGATTGCATTTAAATCACCAATTATGAGTTACACGCACTTTTCTTGCCAATTTGCCAGAAACATGTTAAAAGCTTTATTAATGTGAAAAAGGGTGTGTTTCCTTGTGGCCAGTTTTAGCCACCCAGGAACACTATTAACCTCAGGCAAAGGCAAATCTTTCTTCTATTAAGCAAAACCAACATAAACACAGCACTTCAAGTTTTAGGTTACAGTTGTCAAAATATATGAAATAGTATTTATTTCTAAGGCTCAGTTACTTTTAATGCAGACAGCCTCTGGAACTGTCGGTCCAGCTCACGCCTACCTGCCTTCTGCACAAAGCTTTTCTCACTGGCTTTTCCTTTGGCCTCTGCAAGCCCAACTGTGGCCCTCGTACCAGTTCATCTGGTTCTAGTCAAGGTAGAAGGAAGAAGGTTTTTTCCTTTTAACCTGCAGAGGTGCATTTATCACACCACACTTACCCTTCCTCATTACGTGGAAGTTGCAGTTTCAGTCTTGCCTAGCAGGCAATGCCCTTTGGAGAGACAGTGATGAAAGATGCACGATGAGGGCAGGTCATCCTCATATTTATAGCCCGTTTCCTGCCACAGCTAACTGGGTTATTATGCTGATGGCAAGAAAACTGCCGAGAGAAAAGCATCTTTTGTTAAGAGTGCAGCTCCAAGGAACCAGAATTCCCAGCTGATCAGACCTTGGTGTGTTCCCAGGCTTGGCTGCAGACTGGCTGGCTCTTGGCTGCAGTCCCTTCCCCTGCAGTGGGAGAGCAGTCTCGCTCTGGCTCTGAGTGTGCTGTGCTGTGTGCTCTGCTGTGTGCTGTGAGTGTGCTGTGTGCTGTGAGTGTGCTTTGTGCTGTGCTGTGTGCTCTGTGCTCTGTGTGCTGTGCACTGTGTGCTCTGTGAGTGTGCTGTGCACTGTGCTCTGTGCTCTGTGTGCTGTGCACTGTGCACTGTGCTCTGTGCTGTGCTCCAGAGCTCCAGTGCAGCTGCCTGCTGGCAGGCTGGCTCACAGCCTCCACAAAGAGGAAGATGTTCTGGCAAGCTCTGAACTGCAGGGATGGGATGGGATGGGAAAGCCATGGCAGTGCCGTGGATGGCTCCCAGGGGACCGTGTGTGTGCAGAAGCTCTGAGGCTGCAGGAAATGCAGGGCTGTGCAGCAGCACTGCCGGGCTCCTGCACCTTCTGAAAGGGCCCAGGAGGCTGCTGATGCTCATTTATCAAATGTTTCAAGTCGTTTAATTTTACAACATAATGCAGGCCATTGTTTACTTAATTAAAAGAAAAGATCACCTTGGTGATTAGGTGTGTTTGAGAAAGAGCCATGTTTCTGGCAGCAGGGTTTTGATACCCAAGAGCTGCTATTTCCCCACAGTTCCAGGCTTGAGAACCAGCCCAGAGTTGAGGCACTGCCACGTCAGTCAAGGCTCCAAATCTTCCAGTGCCAAACAGAAAAGGCAGACTCCTGATCTTGCCTGCCATCATCCTGAGGTGGAAATGAGCTACTTCCTTGGCAGAGGAATGACTTGCCCAATGTTTAAAAAAAATGCAGAAAAACACCAGATCTGTAATTCATTACCATGAGGGCAAGCAGCAGTGGAAGCTGCTCTGTAAGAGAGCAGGTGTTTAACACAGCACTGTTAATACCTGTGTGCTGACTCTGCTCCAGCCCAGAACTCTGGGCTACGATGTGTCAGTGCAGTCGGCAGCGAATAAAACATCCTCCTGGCATATGGATATGTGTGTTACCATAACAGCACAGGGGGGAGAATGCAAGTGTCCAGAGGTGAACACAGCCCAAAAATTAGCAGCAGGGACGGAAAAAGGAGAAAGGAAGCAGGGCAGTGTTTTCAGGTTAAGCAGTGTGCAGTAGTACCTGTTGTGTGCTCGTGTCATCTCCTGTTTTTCCTGTTTGGAAAGAAGACTGTAATGCAGATGAAATGGAAGAGTGGAGAAGAGGATGTGCTCACTTGGGCAATTTTGTCTGCCTTTCCTAAAACAATGCCCTTCTTTAGAGAGCTGTGGGTTCCCCTACAACTCCAACTTAGCATGCATTCCTCAGTTTCCTGCAGACAGTTTTTACTGGAAGAGCTTATACTAACCTTAATCACCTTAAAAGACTTGTGTTTTTAAGAGCAGAACTGTGAGCTGGAGCCTGACCAGCTGCTCTTGTTTTCCTGATGTCAGGTTCAGGTTTTGGAGCTGCCATCCAAGACGTCAGTCTGTACCTTGAAGCCAGAGGGGGGTGCCAAGCTGGGCATGCCCATGTGTCTGAAGTTATGGCAGGTAAGGCAAGAGTGCCTGCTAATTGTGAAATGTTTTCCCTGTGATTCATTTTATATGAAGCACATGAATCTTTCTTCACTTGGATTTTGATTTATTATCAAACCAATCAAGTAATTATACTATTAAAGGGGGGAAAGATTTGTGAACATCCTTAATGTAACTTTCAGAGCTTTCCAAGCTTTAATGGAAGATTTGCAAATGCTCAGGGAAAGCTTTGTATCCTTAGGATAGATACACTTTTTGCATCAATCAAGAGGAAAATGAATGACTTACCAAAGCCACTTGTTTGATATGGTTTCTCACTGCATTAAGAATGATGAGAAATGACTGGGTTGCTTGCAAACAGTGATTTTAATGGCAGATTACATTCACTCCAATGCCCTCAGGACAGGGAAGCACTTTATGAACATTTCCATTCCAGACATACAATAGGAACAAAATATTTATGGTGGTATTGACTTTGGATAAAAAGGTAAATAAAAGCAGTTAGTGAAAGAAAACCATATTTGCAGCATATTTAGCAAATAATGTTTATGGGCTGCCAACAGTGAATGACAAGTAATAGAAAAGGGTGGCAGTAAAGGGAGGAAGGAGTTTAAGTGATTGGCTCTAAATCTCCAAAGAATTGGTGGCAAAGCTGATTCCCATTTAACCCCCTGACCACACTTACAGGTCTGCAGGACCATCCAAGCTGATGCCAAATGTGTGGTTCCTGCAGGCTCATCTCAACGTTTTTGTTGGTTCCAGTTGAAAACATTCTCAATCAGGGTTTGAGGCCTTGGTGTCTTCACTCAAAGTCCTGAAGCAACTGAAATCTAGAGGAACTCAGCTGCTGACTTCAGACAAAAGTAGGGGAGGCCACAGTTCAAGTCCCATGCTGTAATTAAAGAGAGGAAAAAAACAGAAGGAAAATTAAATAGGCTGATTAGGCTTTTATTAAACAAAGTTTCTCCTAAAAATGCACTCAGTGTTCAGTGCTCAATGAAATGAATGGGGCTTTCTGTCTCCTGGCCATTTTTTAATAAGATGGAGATAACTGAGGAAATGTTCAGTGTTGAAAATTTTGTTGCCCGTATAAGAAGTCTTCTGTCTTGCCATATTTTCTACATGCATTAATGTTGCTGTTCCTCTAGGAAGCAGAGCAGGTGCAGAGCCTTAATTTCATGTAGTTTTTAATTTTGTTGCCAATGGGGATAAAGCAGAGGACTGGGAGCTGGGAGAGGTAAATTATTCCATGCAGATTCTGACTCAACTCACCGTAACTTCCTAGACTGCAGCAGGCGAGTACAGATAATCCCTGCCAGCCTCACAGCTGCATCTGCTCTTTTACAAACGTGTGCAGCTTGGTTTAAAAGCACGGGGAGCAGCACACCCTTAAGGGCAGATAATTACACGTGGTGTACCAGAGTGCTGCTCTGCATTCTGGTTGCACTGCAGAGGCTCTCTGAGGAAGCCAGAGAGGAGCAGAGCAGCAGAGGCTGTGCAGGGTCTGAGCTGGGCAGTGCAGATGGAGCCAGCAGATGAGCATCGCAGGCAGCGCAGCCTCAGAGGCTGTTTGGTGCTGCTCGGGGCCCAGGGAACGGACAGGTTGGAACAGAGCTGGGGAGAGCCCCACGATTGTGTGCAGGAACCCTGCTCAGAGGGGCTGGCTGAGGAGAGGAGGGGCTGCAGCCACTAGTCCTGTGTGCCTGGGCACAGCCCTGCAGCTCAGGGACACCGCAGGCCCCACCAGCAGTGGTGGGAATGAGCGGCTTCACAGCAGAAGGAACCCAGGCTTAGGTCAGCCTTCCCCTAAAAATGCTTGAAGCTGTTTATTTGCTTGGTTTTGAGCACTTTCCCCCCTAGTTTTCAAGGTCTACCCCTAAATGTATTAGTTCATTAAGTAAGCTTTTTCTGGTGAAGATTTACATTCTTCAATACATTGTCCCTTCCGTTTCACACCTTCCTGCTGTTACTAACTGGGTGGAGTAGGATTTGCAGGAGTAAGGAGAGTCTTCCCTGACATTTTTGCTCTCCCTGGGGAAGGCATCACGTTGCGTAATGGTGCAAAGCAAACAGTTCACCAAGCAGAATGCGTGTCCAAACTGGAAACGCTGGGTTATTGCTTTATATAAACTGTGGCAATTATTCCTGTTGAGCTGACAGCAGATCACCTTTTCTTCCTTCCTTGACACTTATCCAAGCGCAACAACAAAATGTTGTGCTGAGGAAGAGCAGTGATTTGTGAGTGACTGTTTCTCCCAAGCAGCAGGCGGGTGCTGAGCTCTGCAGCCGTGCCCATGGTGGGACTGGGACAGACAGCCCGTGGGGAAGCGCTGCCTGCCCAGCCCAGGTCTCAGCTGCCAACTGCCCTGATCCTTCTGTAGCTTTTATTGCTTCAGTTCCTGTGCTCACTGAAATACTGCACTTCACGTGCTGAGCAAAGTCAGAAGAAGTGGAGTGGGAGACTTTCATTTCACTGGACACAGTACTTGCTTTTTAAAATAGACCAATCTTAGGCCTCACTTGCAAATTATCGGTTTTCAAATCTAAGCTGAGATACCCACAGCACAAAACAAGTATTTTTGCTTGGCATTTCTGGAAGTGCTGAGCACTCACTGTGTCTCCATCTGCACGAGGGTTTGGAGCTCCAGGAGAGCTGTTTGGGGTACGGAGAGGAGCCAGCCCTGCCCCTCCATACCACGTTTCACTGCCTAATGACAGCTACACCTTCGAGGAAACCTTTTCTGAGGGAGTCTAGAACTCACAGAAGAGCAGCACAAATAATTGTGGGGCTTTTTTATGCGTAAACTTGGGGGCTTTTTTTTAAACTTAAAAGTACCTGTGAAATACTTCGTTTTGCCTTGAAGGTTTTATCGTTTATTAAACATAAATAAAATCTGGAATGTTAATTTAATTCAGATTTTTTTAACTTTTCCTTGATATCAAAAAGCAGATCCAAATACCTGATGAGTACATTCATTGCTCTGATATTATTTTAGTAAATCAAAAATTTGACAGAAGAATTGTTCCCGTTCTGGGCACTGAGAGACCTGCTTTGTGGGCCTGTCTAGCCAGAGCACGCTCCTACCTTTTCAAAGGAAAAGGGGTCTTAAAAGAAGGAAGGAGGTTCCTGCAAGATCCCAGGTGTGGACAGACCCCTTCAGAAGGATGATGTAGGGGATTTCCTACACTTCCAAGGATTTCCCCTTGATTCCCTTTTAAGGGGCAATGTTCTTCCCTGCTCAGTGAGATCCTTCCCTCACTCAAACCCCTCTCCTGGCTGAAGGTGAGGAGGCACATGAGGCTGTTACCCAGCACCCCCCTCTCCTGTTAGTTTAACTCCCCCAGAACAAACAGGAACCAGCGGGAGAACGGTGCGCACCATCGACAGAGCAGTGAGCCTGTGACCACTGCAGGTTTGTATCAGGGCACTGACAGCCAGGGAGTGGGACTTCAGTCAATAATGTCACACTGGGAGAAATTCTTTATGTCCTTTACCTTTGTTTTGAACTGAATACCAAGTAAACAAATCCTGTAGGAGCAGAGAGTGTTTGGAAAGATCTGAACAGCTTATTGGATACATCTCTTAGATGTGCCTACATGAGGGGGTCAGAGTGCCTGTGCCTATTTTGATGTTTCTTCTCCTATTAAAGAAACAACTGGCATTAACAGATGCCTCTTTTTTAGCTGCTTTTCGTTAGGGATTTGCATTTTCACTCTTGTAACCAGTTACTGCTTATGGGATCATTAGTCTTTTGGCTGCAGCAATGATGAATATTTTCCTTAAGTGTGACATGTAATCCAGTAATGTTCCCCTCTTTGAGTTATTTCAGGGGCTTAAATAAATTAGGTGTCTGCCCAGGGTGCCGTGGCCTTTGGCCTGTGACATCATTAATCAAAAGAGCTTTCAATTGGTTACAGTGGGACTGGGGCACCCGTTAACCCCTTGGTGCCTCAGTGTTTTCCTTGGAGCTCGGGGTGCCCCTGGGCCCAGGATCCCCCTGTGACCCCACACTGGGTCTGGGGGCCTGCAGTGCTCAGCCTGGCACGTCTGCCAATGCCACAGGGGTCCTGCTGCTCCACAGCCACTCTGCTGATCTGCAGAGTTGTTTTGAAGAAGCGCAGACTTGACAGTTCAGACCATGAAGTAAAACTTCAGGCAGCCTCTTTTCAGGTGTTGCAGAGGGCAATAGTTTGGATTTTCAGAGAGAAATTTTCTATACCTGTGTGTATATATGTGTGTGTATGTTAGATAGGTATTACACATATAAAATTTAGAATCTGATCTGTAGATATAAACTCCATAAGTTCAAAGTATCTAGTACTGCCTCCTGGCAGTGGATGGACTCAGGATTTGACATTCACACTCCTAAATGCTGTATCACCGTGCTCCAGTAGCATTTTCATTTATTCTCTTGGTGCTTGGACTGGACCCTACCTTGGGATGGTAATTCTCCTAACAGACTGTTTACTTCTCCAACAATTTTACTTTTCCCTCCATCAGCTCAGCTGTGGTTCACAACCTTTGCTTCTGGCTGGCTATGAAGATGGATCAGTGGTCCTCTGGAATGTGACAATGGGAAAAGCTCTGAGCCAACTCGTTTGCCACCAGGAGCCAGTGATGAGCCTTGACTTTGACTCAGAGAAGGCCAAGGGGATCTCGGGCTCATCCGAAAAGGTGCTTCGCATCTGGAGCCTCAATGAGCAACAGAACCTCCAGGTCAGGATCACTGGCCCTCTAGTGTCATTTATCCCACTCTGCACTAACAGTTTGATAGACTAAAAAAATATTTAGTCATGAAGAGGAGTTGTTGCAGATCTCTAGCTAATTAATCACAGACTGGTTAGAATGTCTGTGCTATGTGACCAGACTTAGCAAAAGATGGTGAGGATTTAAAAAAAAAAGAAAAAACCCCTCTCTCACATGTTTCTGGTTTTACCAAAGTTGCAACAGGCACACAGGCCTAGCATTACTCAAGCCATTGCCTCTGTATCTTCATTTATCACGTTAGTAGTATCCAGCTCTCGGAATGCCCTAAACATTATAAATGAGTTACAAAATGAGAAACAAAGGATTGCTTTTCCAAAGGTTCTGCTTGAATGCTTAGAGCTTTCTTTCCACTGTGGGAAAGAAAGTATTCCATGAAATCCTTCACAGACAAAAAGAGCAGGAGTAGCCCAGCCAGCACCAGGGGAACGAGAGGTTTAGGCAGCAACAGCCCCACCAGCAATGACTGTTCCAGCTTGCAGCTTTAACAGAGACTTTTTTAGGAAACGTGGCGAGTTAAGGCTGTTTTCTGAATGGTGCTACAGGAAGAAAAGCACGTGCTGGGACAGCCAGGGTTGCCTCACCAGCTGGGGGTCACTGTTCTAAGCCACAAGGCTGATGCACAGTGGCCATGGTTTGGGTTTGTTGGTTCTTTTGGTGATCTTTGCCTTTCTGCCACTTCTGTCACCATCTGCATCTGGAGTCCTTAGCTCAGGGAAGTGGAAGGAAGGTGAGCAATCCCAGTGAGAAGCTTGGTACTGAGAATAGTTCTCTAAGGCCAAGGTGTCAGAATTCTGACACCATGACAGGCTTCTTAAAGCCTCAAATACTCTGGTGGTGGAGAGGAAGGTGTTCCTTCATATTACTTACAGCATAACTTTTTCCTAATTCAAAGCAAATACTGTTCTTCACAGCACATTCCAGTTATGAGTTAACCCTAATGCAGGGCTACAGGTATGACTCATGGGAAAAACAGCTGTTCACCTGAAATGTTCCAGGTATTGTTTTTCACAAGGTATTCACATTCCCAGGAGATGCAGGATTAGCTACGCACTCAGCAGCTCACACTGAGAGACAGCAGCTTTTCTCAGAAGAAATTTAAATGCCCACTATTAGAAGCTCCAAGCAGTGTCCTGTGCTTCATGTGAGTCCGAATGCCCCAATAAAATGCATCTTTCACATGAGCACTAGAGATTGTCAAGGACATAGATTAAGGTTTTTTCCACTATTGCATTAATAATATAAACCAGATGGGGATTTTTTTTCCCTGACATTCCAGGTACCTGAGGTAATGGTAGACGTTGGAAAGCCACTCAGTGGCACATTATTTTTATTCTGGGAGGTTTAATGAGCGAGCGTGGGGCAGAGCTATCTGCTGGTGCAGAAACAGTGATGCAATGATGGCACTTCAGCTCTGTTTGGAGTGGCAACGTTCCAGTGTGTCAGCGAAGAGATGATGAAGGTGCTGCACAGTTTATTGCTGTGGGGAAAGTCTGGTGTATTGTCTTCTACAGGAAAGTTGCTGAAATCATCACTTCAGCAGATGAGGGGATTGGTTATGAGCCTTCTGATTTGGATGAGATATAGTGTAATTATGTGATGATGTTTGTGGTAGAATGTGGAAGGTAAACAGCTTCTGCAGGTGAATAAACAAAGCACAACTAAGAAATCTGATAACCACAGAAGCTCCTTTATATCTGACAAGAAAAAAAGTTCTGTAAGGTGGAAGTTTTGTTAGTTTGGTTGCTGAGGCTTCTCCCCCAAACACTAAAGCTTAGGCTGCTGCTATTTTGGCTATTTTTTAATAAGCAGAGGGCTTAAAGACATGCTCTGGGTGTAGATGCAAGTGTTCTTGGTCATGGCTGGCTGAAAGCAGCTCACCTGTTTTCACCTCTTTGTTCTCTTAATTACAAGCTGTTCTTTTGGTTAGGAAATGATGCTGGTATGCATTAGACCACTCTAGTTAGTGACTTACTGTGTAAGTCCCTGCACGGCACAAATCCTGCCCCAGGATTTCACCTGGCTGCATTACCTTGGGCAAGGTGTTGTTTTGCTGCTGTGTTTGCAGGTCGTGCCCAGATGCCCCCTGTTCCCTCCTGTTCCAGAGGCATCTGCAGGGCAGGCTCTGTTCAAGTCGCAGCTCGCTGAGGTGCCGTGTGTCCCAGCGCCCGGTGCTGCTGTGGATCCTGCCCAGTCAGTGCCAGGAGGAGGGCAGCACCACACCCACACTGGCTTTAGCCATTTTAACAATCCCACAGCAAGGCCCATCTGACTCTGCCAGGCTGGTGAGGCAAGGAGTAAATCCTTCCTTCCCAGGACACTTCTGCCCACAAAAATTCCACAGCTGCGACCACACTGCATGAACCTGAGCTGGGGCCTTGCAACATCTGCACTGACTTTTACAGCAGCAGCCCCACGAAAAGGCCCCCACACAGCCTCCTCCTGCCCATTAGGCTTGAGCAAAACTTGCTGTCCTCTCTTCTGAATTGACTGGAGACACCTTCTTCAGGTTCTCCTTAAGAGAGGAATGTGTGGAGCACGTGAGAAGCATGTCAAGTTTCCTTCAGCCTGTTTTCTCATCAAACTGCAAGTTCTTGCTGTTTCAGTAGCTAGGGACGTTGTTATACAATTAAAAAGTAATTGCTTATGGCTCTGTGTCTGTAAGATTCCAAATATGTTCAAATATGCCCAACTGCATCTGAAACTAACTCTGACTAGCATTTCTGGAGGTTTTTATGTCCAGTGTAAAGGTTCAAGTTATCTGCAATTAATTTGTTCTCTATAATCCTGTACTAACTGTGCAACGTGGAATGTCCTTCAAGGAGGAAAGCTGCTCAGCTGTGCTTGTGAACCCCTTCCCACCTCAGGCAAACAGCAAAAGGCACCTGTATTAAAACAGGCACTGGATGATATCAGGCTTTAGTACAAGACAGCCACAGGCTTAAGCAGACAGTGACATTAACAGAATATAAATTTCAATGCAAAATAAACTAAACCCATAAAGGGTTTATTTTTAGACAGTGGTGCTGCAGGTGGGAAGGCTCGAGGTAAGGTCTTTTCCCTCTCTGTCTACAGCTGTTCTCCCAACGCCCCATCCACCACGTGGTGAGAAGCTCCACACTCTGTGACACTGGTGTTACGGGTGGGCACTGCACCTGCCAAGGTGCCAAAAGGTTCCTTTTCTTGTGTTTTGAACAATTAGAACTCAGCTGTGACTTTTTCACACAGGTTTACAGAACACAGGAACTTGTCAACGCTGGCATATCTGATATCACCATCCGTCCAGACAAGAAGATTTTAGCCACAGCAGGGTGGGATCATCGCATCAGGATCTTTGGCTGGAAAAAACTGAAGCCCTTAGCAGTGCTGGACTATCACACAGCAACTGTCCACTGTGTGTCCTTCTCAGATCACACAAGGCCCCGTGAGAGACTGCTGGCAGCTGGCTCCAAGGATCACCGCATCAGTGTCTGGTCGATATACACCCAGAGCTGACACCCTGCAGCAGCACGGGCTGGGAAACACGACTGGGGCCGCAGGCCCTGACACTGCACTTCAAACCTGCACGGAGGGAAGGCGCAGCTTCTGTCTCCAGGCTGAAGGGACAGTCCCAGGTTAACTCCTAACGCTGCTTGGTTAAGCTGCAAACTTTGTTTTCCAGAGAGGGATTTTTAAAATTCCTAACAAGCAGAAAAAGGCCCGTCACAAAGACACAGAACAAGTCGCTTTGGGTTCTGCTACAGGTTTTGCAACAGCTTTTCCTTGGCAGGTTGCTGAAATAACTTGTGCCAGTATCTTTTGTAAAAAAGGACTGGAATCCCTCAAAGTGTGGTGGGGGCAGAATACATCTGTTTGTAAACCCTTTATGTATCCAAGAATTTGAATCAGTGTAAAATATCGCTCTTTCTTGAAAATTTATCCCCATTAAGGCACCTCCAGCGGGTTCTCTTTGTCAGTTACTTTTTCTTGCCTGTAACTGAAAGGCTATCAGAACAACCTTGATTTGTTCACACTGCTGTCAAGTTTCTAACCTAAACCAACAGCCAGGAATGTGACTAGGGACGGCCTTTGGCATTTATGAATTTCATTATGTCTCCTGTCACCTCAAGCCTCACAATTAATCACAAGAAAGAAAGGGAAAAAATCTTGCCCTGCACTGCACTGCAAAGCTGTGTAAAGCCTTTCACAGAGCAGTGCTAAATCCTCTCCACAGACCGACGAGCTGCAGGATTTAAACTCAGCAATCCAATTAGCGCCCTTCTCCTGGGAGAGTTACGGCTATTTCAGCGTGGCAAGTCTGGGATTCAGCCACACCCCTCTCATTTACATTTAGGGGAATTGCTCGAGAATTCCTTATCCCACACAGTGCAAACGGCTCAGGTAACTTGTCATCTCTACGGCTGTGGAAGCTAAAATTCACTCCTAAGGGTTTTGTTTGAATCCTGAAGCAGCATTTGCATTCCTCTAAGGCGTTTTAGACAGCCCAGTGTGGGCTGGGTCACAAAGCTGCAGTGACAGCTGTGTCCAGGCTGGGCACTGTTGGTACCTTATTGGAAATAATTGTTTCTGCACTATAAAGACCTGGAAATCCAAGAAAAAGGCATCAAAAGTGCAGTGAACAGCAACATCAAAGACTTTAGAAATAATTTCAGGACAAACACACATGCAAATGAAGGTCTGGCTCTGTTACCTAGCTGTGCTTTGCAGGCAGAGAATGCTGCTGGACTGAAAGCCTCAAACACCCAGCCTGGTGTTCTTCCCATTAAAACAGAATCAGGATACTGTTGCCAGGCTTTTCTAAATAAAACGTGGCCTTACACATTTTGGAGTGTAATGACAGTTTAAATAATGCATTTCTTTGATTATGTCTTTACTATTCAGTAGCTGCGTGGAGGATCACATTGCAGCTGAAAGTTAAAGCCTAATTTTGAGTGATCCCAAGTCAGGGGGAGGTGATGGTGTTCATTACATCTACCAGACAGAGTTGCACAGAGCAAGGGCTCCATCTCCACCTCACCCACCTCCCACGCAGAGGAGGAGCTGCTCTCACTGTACAGGCGGCTCCAGCCCTATGGAATGAGGGGCTGTCTCCACAAACCTGCTGCTGGAAGAGACCTTTCCTTTGGTTCTTTCCCCCCTTTCTTCAAATAAGTCAGCTCTGACAGAGAAACGATGCAGTGAATAACTAGAGGAAGCTCTCTGTAGAGCACACACTGCTGAGGGTGCTCCAGGGACCATCCCAGGGTGCTGCCTGTCCTGACAGGGCCACACCTGGCCTGGGGGTGCAAATGCTCGTGTGCAGCCTGCACTGCTGGCAATCCCCACGGCACTGACCGCAGGGTTAGTGCTGTCCAGCAGCACAGCAACCCAGGGCTGGCCCATCTTGGGCAAAGGGCTACTGCAGGAAATGAGAGGAGCCTGGTCCTGCTAGAGAAGTCAGTCATCCCCTAGACAGCAAAGGCACGGTGCCAGCAGAGCCGAGTGCGAGTGGGAAGCTGCTCTGCAGCCTGACTGAGGCACATCTGCAGCACTGGAGCACAGCAGGGGCATCTCCCAGAGACCTCTGCATCTTACAGCCACTTGGGAAACAACTGCTGAGCCACTACTCTGCCACTGGCACGGGGGCAGCCCCCTGGGAAGAAAGGATTAATACCCTGTGCCTTAAGAGGAGCACTATTAGATCAGAGCCAGGAAGTCAGGAATTCTGGAGTATGCTTTGTTCCTTAAAAAATGCCATTTACTGTCAATTTCTGTGCCTAAAGTCATTGTGGAGACTCATAAGGGATGTTCCGATTTCCAAATAGGTCCTTGGAAGGTACTCTTGAAGATAACTGTGCTGTCACATCTAACACTGCCTTTTGCTGAGAGTTTAATATTTATATTTGTCTGATTAGGTAGAGTTAAAAATAAACTTAGTCATGCAAGTACAAATTGAAAATGAGGGCACGAACTGCACCTCACTCCCAGGCAGACACAAAGACTTTCATCAGCTGCAAGAGAAGGACACAAGCTGGAGAGCTGCTTGCAAGAACAGACCCATCCTATACTTCCCATTACCCAAGCGGTATCCACCTCATATTTTGCACATTACAATTAATTCATTAACACTTTACATCACTACTGATCTTATTTAAACACCCAGTAAGCAGATTTCTCTTTCACATTATGGTTTCCTTGAAATGAGCAGCCAGAGTACAGTAGCTTGATTTAGAGTTGAGCCTAAATGCCATAGCTGGATTGTGAATTAGTCTTCTAAAATTTTATATCCTTAAGGAACTAACCTGGACTTCCCCAAAGCAGAATGATTTCCACCAGGAAGGAGAGTCTGTGTTGCTATAGACTGTAAAACACGGTTGTCTAATTGTAAAATACAGTTGTCTGATTGCATCTGTGAAACTAACAAGTTTTTTTAATTAAAAAAAATAATTTAAAGCTGGTCACAGTTGTGCCATGAGCATGGTTATCACTGGAGGTTTCAGCTGACCTGCTTAGCAGGAGGGTTGTGAGTGAAGAGCCACCTTAAGCTGCTGGAGTCAGTTCTGGAATCTCACCTGCCAGTAAGAACAGGGCTAGCCCGTACCTGGTCTGAAGGATTCAGGAGTGAAGGTGATGACAGCTAAATTATTACAAAAGGCTTCCTCCCAAGAACCACTGTCTTTGGCACTGCCAGAGGAAGAAAGCAACCAGCATTCACAAACTAACAGAAATAAATCCCAAACACCAGCATTTGTGCAGCCATTACATGGACTATTTATCACCACTGCAATGAATGGTGATCTCTGACCCTCTAACATTATTTGCAAATGAGCCTATTAGTTAAAGCCCTTTCTCTTATCAGTACATGAGCCATAAAGCATTGCAGTCCTAAGTGTGGATGAGCAAGGAAAGAGGAGATTAATTGTATTTGTAGTAATGAGTGAAAAAGGAAGTAGGCTGGGGGCCTGCAATGAGACAGTTGTTAAATTTAGCCCTATACAATGCAATTGCTTCAGCAAGCCAATAAATTACTCTCTGCAGCTTGACTTGGATTGTTGCAAAGGTTGGAGTTTAAAAGAGTACATTTTTATAGTTAAGTCAATAGTGGTTTCTGGACTGCTTTTTGTTTTTAGCACGTTTAAGATGCATCTACAAAGCCAACTTACAAATTAATAAATCTTTCCTTTAATTCAGTCTGCCAAGAACAAAGATAGAACACTGACTACTGCAGGAGCCCTGTTAGTGATGTAAAGCAAAGGACTGGGGATTAACCACGGATTACCGAGCGCTAAATCAATGTGTTTCCTTTTCTGGCTGTGTGTCTGTGGTGTGAAAGTATGGATCATTACATAACCATGGCACAGGACTGCCTGGATGAGTCCCAGACAACCTTACAGCAGTGCTGAGACAGTCTGGGGTCGAAGCACGACCACCAAGGAGCGACAGTGCCAGTAAGGA